ATTTTTCAACTCTAGAATTTCCATTTGGTTCTCTTTTTTTATAATTTCTGTTTCCTTATTGAGATTCTCTACTTGTTGATTCAGAGTCCTGGTGTGGTACTGTAGGATAACTTCAAGATTGGTGGTTCAAGTCTTTAAGCATAACTTCCTTTCTTTCGTTGTCTCATTTGTAACAGCTGTTCTGAAGTATTTGTCTGTTAATTCAGTGTCTGTGGATAGTCATAAGTAATCTCTATTAGCTTTACCCGCCTGAGTATGGGTTACCCTTTTTCTTTGTATTTCTCTTTGTTGTTGTTGTTGTTATTGAAAACTGGACATATTGCAGAAATCTGGATTTTTATTTTTCCCTGAAGAAAGTTGGTTCTGCTGTTTGCTTCTTTGCTTAGTTGCTGATCTGGGCTGAATTTGTGTTTCCTCTGTTGTATAACATACCAATTGAGTCTTCTGAGTTTTTTATTTTTTTAATGTAAAGCATGGCTTCTTAAGGGTCACCCCTGTGGGCATAACTTGCTATTGCTCAGCCAGTGATTGGACAGAGGTGGTGCTTAGACATACTGAGTATGTAAAGCTCTCACCCTGTTCCAGCAGGTCTCTTTGTGGGTAGAATAGCACATTCAAAGGTGAAGCCATTTTCAACTCTTGTCTGCCTTTTACTTTCTCCTCAGCCCAATCTCACATTCACTAGGCCTGAGAGCAGCCTCAGGGTGGCCCAGGACTATGTGGATAACTCGGGCTTGCTCTGGTCTCTGCTGCACTGGCCAGCCAGTAATATGTGTCACACCAGGAGCCCTTGACATGGCTAAGTGTTCTGAAAGGTCTTGTCACTAAAAAATAATTCTATCCTATTTAGGATATACTTTTTGAGGCATTCCTGAACTGAAAAGAGGTAGGGAGGTGCACTAAAAATGGGGGAGAAATGGAGCCAGAGAAGTGGATTCTGAGCCTTGGGCCTTGGGCCTGTCGTGAGGTATCTCTGCACTGACATGTCAGTAGGTGTGGGGATCATTGCCCACTCCAGATGAAATGATCCCTCTTCAACCGTGGCAGTGAAGTTGCTGGGCCTCACAGTCTGCTCAATTCTGACGGAACACTCACAGGACAAGAACCCCAGCAAGCATAAATACTTCTTAGATTGTTTATGCTTCAGGTCAGTGTCCAGAGTACTTAAATGTTTTTTTGTGTGTGTGTGCCAATTTTTTCCAGCTATGTAGTGGTTCCACCACTTTACTTAGTCATAGCCAAGTCCCACTTGTATTATCCATTAATTTTGCTTCCAAATATTTCTCTCCTATGCTTCCAGTCTGCTAATTCTCTCTCTAGCTAGTTGGCTAAATCTGATCTGCTTTGTAACCTGTACATTGCATTTTATTTCAAGAATATTATTTTTTACCCCTAGTAGTTTTAACTTTCTTTTTTCCCCAAAATGCCTTTTTACCCCTAGCAGGCCCTTTGTTACATGCTCCATCTTTTTTTTTACTTCCTTTATATATTTATATAAATATATAAAGTTGTGTTCTCTACCTGACAACTCCAGTACCTGTTGTGTTGTGTCTGCTGACTCCTGCCTACCTTTGTGTGTGTTCTATGATCTCTGTTTATAAATTCTTTACTTGATCTTACTCTGTGACAGTCTTACAGGACTTAGTTGGAAGATTTTGTCCAAGGAGAATTTGCTTGTATTTCTGTCAGTAGCCAGAGTGTACCAACCACCTGGGACCACTTCAGTCCTCTTGAGGAAAGGCAGTGAGAAGAGGGTAGCACTGTTCTGTGGTGAGGTGACACATCAGAGTCTGAGATACCTCACCACAGGCCCAAGGACCAAGGCTCAGAATCCACTTCTCTGGCTCCATTTCTCCCCCATTTTTAGTGCACCTCCCTACCTCTTTTCAGTTCAGGAATGCCTCAAAAAGTATATCCTAAACAGGATAGAATTATTTTTTAGTGACAAGACCTTTCAGAGCACTTAGCCATGTCAAGGGCTCCTGGTGTGATTCTGGAGGATTAGCACTGGACTGCAAACCACAAAGCCCACAGTTCAAACCCACCAGCTGCTCCTTAGAGACCTGATACAGGATCACTGTGACTCGACAGCACTTGACAACAGCAAAAATCATGTCAAAGTTAACATTTACAGGTTGTCCCCAACTTAACAACACGGTCTCATTTCAATGACTCCATTATAAATCAGTTCTAAGTCAAGTCCTTTTTGTGTGTGTGTGTAGTTTTCATTACTATTACCTTTTATTATCAGTATCTTTATAAATCCAACAGTGTTTTGAACAGTAAGTCATAAAACTGAACATTTGCAAGTGAACATGGATTGAATTATGTCCCCTAAAAATATGAATTGATGCTTTTGAGTTATGGTGTTGGAGGAGAATATTGAAAGTGCCATGGGCTGCCAAAAGAACAAACAGAACTGTGTTGGAAGAAGTGCAGCCAGAGTGCTCCTTGGAGGCCAGGATGACCAAACTTTGTCTCTCATACTTCAGACATATTATCAGGAGGGACCAGTCCCTGGAGAAGGATATTATATTTGGTAAAGTGGAGGGTCGGAGAAAAAGAGGAAGACTCCAACTTATTGGCACCTAAGAACAACATGCCTGTGGTTATATTCCCATTGGGAATGGGTTCTTTGTTACACAAAGGAGGCAGAAATCATATGGGTGTACTGCATCAATCTTTTGAGATATATAAGAGAGTAAACAGTCAAGAGAAGCAGAGATGGGGAAGAGAAATGCTAAGTCATATGACAATCACCCAATGACAGAAGCGCGAAGAGACAAGGGTCTTTCCTCCAGAGCCAACAGAGAGAGAGGAAAGCTTTCCCTTCCATCCAGCACCTTGAATTTGGACTTCTAGCCTCCTGAACTATGAGAAAAGAAATCCCTGTTTGTTAAAGCCACCCATTTATGGTATTTTTATTATGTCAGTATTAGATATCTAAGACAGATATTGTTAAGTACCACCGAGTCAGTTCTGAGTCATAGCAACCCTGTATAGGTAGAGTTTCCAAGGAGCTGCTCACCTTGTGGTTCACAGTCCAGTGCTGATCCTACAGCACCACAAAGAGACGGTTGTAAGTGTGGTTTGGCTTAACTTGAATTGTAAGTCGGGGACTTGGTGTACTGAGCCTTGACTGTGTACTACCCTCCCATGACTCAGACCTCACAACAGCGCTAATTACCCATGTTTTCAGACGAGAACATTGGGGCACAAAGTCCTCAGAGCTAGCAAGTAATGGAAGTGGTTTACAATCCTGGTGTCTGGCTGTAGAATCCATGTTCTTATACACAATGATGCACTGTCAGTGAATTTCTATATAACTGTCTTAGTTCCCTAGTGCTGCCATAACAGAAGTAGCACATGTGAGTGCCTTTGTTGTTGTTGTTATGTGCCATGGAGTCGGTTCCGACTCACAGCGATCCTGTACAGGGTTTTCGAGGCTGTAACTTTACAGGAGCAGAAAGCCTCATCTTTCTCCCACGAAACAGCTGGTAGTTTCAAACTGCTGCCCTTGTGCCTTTAGGAAGCAGAAATTAATTTTTCTTCACAGTTTAGGAGGCTTGAAGTTTGGATTCAGAGTACCAGCTCTGGGGGAAGTCACTCTCTCTCTGTTGGCTCTGGAGGAAAGTCTTTATCTCTTCTTTTTCCTGGTTCCTTGGAGATCTCCAGGTGTTTTGGCATCCTCTATTTTTACTTGCTTGTTTAATCTCTTTTATTTTATATCTCAAAAGAGATTGATTTAAACACATTTTATGCTAATCCTGTCTCATTAACATAAAGACAAACCATTTTAAAAATGGGATTATAACTACAGGCATGGAGGTGAGGACTTAAAACACATGTTTTGGAGAACACAGTTCGATCCATAACTAACGGTGTATTATTGTTAATGTGTTAGCAAGTAAATGTCAGCGTGTGCTTATTCCAAAGTGGCTGTTTGTGTGTCTATGGGCATGAATGTCACTGTACGTAACTGCCTTCAGGTGCCAGCTCTGATGTCCCCTTCTTGGTGGACACTCCTCTGACCGCCTACTTTGCTTATTATTTATCCAAACAATAGCTATCTGTTGTTGTTGTTGTTGTTAAGTGCCTTCAAGTAAGCTCTGCCTCATAGTGAACCCTGTATAGCATTTCCAAGGGTTTGAACCGTCACCTTACAGTTCACAGTTCAGTCCTTATCCTACAGCGCCACACCAGGACTCCAATAACTAATGGAGTGCATATGTTACTTCTTTTACTACATACGTCTGCTTTCCCAATACAGCATGAGCTCACTCTGAGGTACACACTGTAGGCAAGGTAGTCAGCCAGAGCCCAGGTTGGAGGCTGTTGCAGTAGACCATGTGAAGTTGGTGGTGGGTGGTCTAGATTCAGGATCTATTTTGAGGGTACAGTTGGCAGGCTATGCTGATGGTTTGGATGTGCAGCTTATAGGAATAAAAGGTATCTAGGATGCTTCTTATATGGGCAAGATGGGGAACGGTGGGGAAGGGGAGGAAGGGGAAGATATAGAAGGATGAATGTGTTGAGAAGCAAGAGATTGGTTTGGGATATACTCAATGTATGATGCCAATTAGCTCTCCAATTGGAGATAATGAGAGTTGGCTATGAGTCTGGAATTTAGGAAAGAAGAAGGTTCTAGAGATGGAAATTTTAGTCTCATGAAACTGGGTGAGACCTCTTGGGGAGTAAATGTGATAGAGAAAAATGAGGTTCAAAAGAGAGTAGATTAGAAAGGGGAAGGCTGTTGTCTCCCAGGAACTAGGAAAGTAGCCACAGGCACTAAGAAGGGGGCAGATCTTAAAAGGGGTGGAGGTAAACTGGAGGTGGATATGGAGCCATCTTCTCGGGGTCCCTTCACGGAACTAACTCCCAGGAGGCAAGGTCAGTTGATCTGACTCTGGTCTCCTGTGAGCAGCACATGGTGGAGCTGAAGACTGTTAGATACATGAATAAATGATGAATGAATGCTTCATTCCCCTCTTCCCTCCCAGTTCCTGTTAAAGAACCAAAAAAGATGTCCAAAACAGTTCCTCCTACTGTCAAGAAGCTGGTGACAGTCCCCACTGGGCCCAGCAAAGCCAAGTAAGGAGCAGGGATAGGAGTGGGATAAGGAGAAGTGTACATAGGAAAAGCCGCTCCCTGCCCCCACCTCACCCCCAGGGCCTGATGAGGGTATGTATGTTCCAGGCTATCTTGGACATCCAGTGGGGAAAATCAGAAACGCCCCTCTCGTGACTCAGGTAAGAGCTGTCTCCCTCCGGTGGGGCTGGGGATAGGGCTGGGGCAGGTGGTTGTGCTGAAGAACAGAGGTGGGGCTGACATTCTGCAATTCTGCTCTCATAGGCTCCAGTGGCAAAGTCCTTGGTGGGGCTCCTGGTCACCCTGGCAGAAAGCGATCCAAATCCCAGGTTCCCCAGCAACACCCTGCACCCAGTCAGGTGAGAGCCCCAAGATGTGGGAATTGGGGTACTAGGCAGAGTCTGATTGTATACCATACATACCTCTGGGAATCAGAGGTATATAAGGTATACAAAGGATCTGTGGCAAAGGGGAGCTAGACCTGCAAGGTCTCCAGCCCTTAGTTGCGACCCCACCCCTTGTCACCACAGGACGACAAGCAGAACAGCCTGGCCAAGGCCCCTTCTGTGAATAAAACCCCCACTCTGGACAAGAACCCCAAATCAGAGAAGGTCCTACACCCAGATAAGGCTGCTACCCCAGAGAAGACTCGGATTTCTGACAAAGTCCCCTCCACAGAGACAACCCCAACTCTGGACAAGGCCTCCACTCCAGAAGAGACCTTGACTCCAGATAAGGCCCCTGGCCCAGAGAAGACCCCAACTTTGAGCAAAGCCCCCACTCCAGAAAAGATCCTGACTCCAGATAGGGCTGCCAGCCCAGAGAAGATTCCAACCCTGGACGAGGCCCCCACCCCAGAGAACATTTTGACTCTGGATGAGGTTCCCACCTCAGAAAAGATCCTGACTTCTGACCAAGTTCCTAGCCCAGAGAGGGTCTTTTCTATGAATGAGGCCCTTGGCCCAGATGTCCCACCTGAGGATGAAGCCCCTGGCCTCAAAATGACCCCTCCTGGGGATGAGGCCCCCACTCTAGACACAATCTTGGTGCAGGAGCAGGTGACGTGTGAAGAAGCGCCCTGTACCATACATGACTCTCAGTCCCATCGGTTGTCCTCAGAGGAAGCCCTGCAGAAAATCAAATCTCTTGTGTCCAAAGAGACTCAATCCCAAGAGGAGGTGCCAGCAGAGTCCCAGTTACAGCCTAACTGCCCAGCGTGTAATTGCTCTATAATGAAACCCTACAGCAATAAAAGAGACAGCTCTCTGCTCCTGCCTGAGCGAGTGTCCAAACCCACCCCTGATGAGGTCCATTCCCAGACAGAAGCCACAACCCTCCTACAGGAGGTGCCACTACCTGCAGAGGACGAGACTACCCAGAAGGAGGAGGCACCCTTCAAAGATGAAATGCACCCCCAGAAGGAAGTCACTCCCAAAGAGAGAGGGCCCTCCAACTTAACTCCTGCCCCAAATAAGCCATATCTTACCAAGCCCACCCCAGACCCCCAAGATACTCCCTCCCCCCTACAATATCGTTCAGAATGCAAGGATGACAGAGAAGAAGACATCGTGAGGCTGAAGGTCGAGGTGGAGTCTCTAAGGAGGGCGCTGGAACTGATGGGGGAGCAGTTGGAGTAAGTGGGAATGGAGAGGGATGTGATGTGAGAAGAGGGGCTCTAAGCCTTCCAGACCCTCCCCTCACCACCAGGTCTTCTGTCCACAGAAGGAAGCTGATGGACATCAGGGAGGAGTTGCAGAACGAGAGGGAGCAGCGCCAGTTGCTGGAGGTGGGTGGGATATGGACCCAAGGCAAGGAGGGACCAGGGAGGAGGGGGGCAGGCCTTCCCCCTCACTTACTCGCTCTACTAGGTTCAGATGATGCAGAGGACCCAGGAGTCCCAGTCTCAGGACTCCATCCGCTCGCAAACGTGTTGAGAGTGGGCCCGGGAAGGACCACAGCTCAATCTGGAGGGATGTCTGACTTTTTCCATCCATGTCCTTGCATACAACTTTGGAAAACCAAGAAAGTAAACTCTGCCTGCCCTCACCTTGCCTGGTCTTTGGGGGCGGGGTCTTGCTTCGGGGGCGGGCCCAGCTTGGTGCTCCCGGCCCTCTGCATTCCTGGCGGTCTCTCCAGGGCACATCTGGCCAACATGTGGCTCCCATTACTGTTCCCAAGGCCTGCGCGCCGCTATTTTTATCCACCGGATGATGGCGGGGAGGGCTACTTCAGACGCCAGCTCTGTGCTGCAGTAATGGCGGGCCGGTGGGGCCCAGGAGGGGTCGGGCTCTGCCCACGGGAGCGGGAGCCTGGATCCCGGAATCCAGCTGTGTGCCAGGGGGAGGAGTCAGCTGCCCGGAAGACTTTCTCTTAAGCCCAGAGCCCTCTCATTTGGTACCACAGGGACTCACAGGAAGAGTCCTCAGCTCAGACACTTATGAATGGGGCTCCACAGGTCATAGAAAAATTAATCTTTCAATTCCGTTTTCCACGAACTTTTTGAGTCTCCCTTAAAAATAACTGCACTAGGGCCAATAAGACCCTGAGGCTTGGGGGTGGGTGGTGATGTAAGTATGTGACAGTTGTGTTTACGTAGCCCAGCGTATTTGGAGGGAGATGTGATTTGCACACACAGGCCTGTGTGGGAAAGGAGTGCATGTGTGAGTTCAGGACTGTGTATGTGTGTGTGTGTATGCGCGCTCAGGAATAGGTGTGTTTGCTGTCTATGAAGTGAATTCAGCATTTGTGCTAAGACATCTGGTGGGTGAGTCAGATGAGCAAAACCTGTTAAAGGAGTCAGTGGGGCCTTGGCCCCCGGATCCCCTGAATGGCAGGAACCTATGGGCCTCTAGGAAGAGGGGGCAGGGGTTACAGAAGGCGAGGCACTGAGGATGCAGCTTTCATTGGTCATTTCATTATCCCCCTAGTGGGGGTGGGAACCCCGCCTCCTGTCCAACCCCCTGGCCTGGCAGGACAAGGGAAGGGTGCCTCCCAGAGGATGGGGGGGGCCCATGCCCGATAGCACCAGGGAGCCGTGAGTGCGGGGCCTCCAGAGCACCTTGGGTGGGGACAGTTCCAAGGTCCTGGGGCAGCTCAGGGCTCATCTACAATGTCCAGTACCCAGAGCATCAGTCAATAATAGTGCATGCGGCCCAGGGTGCCAGTGGCTGTGGGGCCGGGCCCCAGGGTGCCAGTGCCCAGCAGGTCCGGCTGCCCGGTGCGCCAGATCTCCCTTAGGATCCGCTCCCGCTCCTCCAGCCGCTGAGCCCGCTCCAGCTCCTCGGCCGACGTGAAGACGTTGACGCTGAGGGGTCCATCAGGTTCCTGGGACAGCTCGGTTCCTGGCAGCGTGTCATCAGGTCCCAATCGCGTCACAGTGTCCTCCTCATCCTCGTCATCGTCATCATCCTCGGGCTCTAGGGTGCTGCTACGGGGGTCACGGCGGGAAGGGGGGCCGCGGGGTCGCGGGCGGGGTGCGCAGGAAATACTGATGACCAGGAGGCACAGAGTCAGCAGCAGGCCGAAGCAGACGCCCAGCACGAAGTAGAGACCAAAGCTTTCAGGGTTCGCTGGGGATCAGAGGGCAGAGGTCATGTAGGGGTCCTTCTGGAAAAGACTTTGGTCTTTTTGGACCAAGGTTTGGTGGCAAGGGTTCTAACCCCTGTACAAGGACGTTAAGGACCCGCCACGGACTGTGGGGCGAAAGGAGGGTGGCGAAGTTGAGAGGAAGCGAGTGGCTAGTAGGGAGTTAGTGTTATGGGCGGGCGGGAAGACTAGGATGGCCAAGGGTGGAGTGGGGCCTGAGAGGGCCAGGGAAGGCTCCAAGTCCCCAGGGTCTCTCCTGGCGCACGCCCTCACCACGGATGTGTGCGTAGGCCGCCAGGCTGTTGCTGAGTAACTCCATGTCCCTTCGGGGGGCGTCCATGCTGCTCTAGGGAGACAGACGGCTCTCCTGTCAGCCTGCGAGATCAGCAAGGTCAGCCCCATCTTCTAAGTCCAGAGCTGATCGTGACCCGCATCCTTCTCGAGGTAGCTCCTCTCCTTGTAGGAGCAGCCCCCGATTCCACCCTGGAGCGAACACTTCCCTAACTTCGTGGCACGTCTGGACTGGCTCTAGGGACACCTTCCACGGGGCCCGCACGCCCCTCCATCCTGGGGCAGAGGGGCCGCAGGAGGCTCCGCCCTGTGGGTTCCCAGTTAGGGCCGGAGCTGGATGGAGATCGCAGCTGCGGCCTCCCCCATTACCTAGGCGGTCTCTGGAAGGGAGGCCGTCGCCCGCCCGCCCGCCCGCCCGTGGGGACCCACAGCCCGGGCTCACTCACCGTCACGTCCCGCTCCCCGGCGGCTAGGCCTTCGTTCTGGGCAGTCACATACACCCAGGCCCGGTCGCTCCCGCCCCGTCCGTCCCGGCCGCCCGTCCTGCTTGACTTCCAGGCGGCGGCAGCGCGGGCCGGACACGGGCGGCTGGACCAGCGGGCGGAAAGTTTCCTCGGAGGAAAGAGGAGGGACGGGGCGGGGCGCGGGAGGCGGGGAGGAAAAGGGCCCGGGAGGAAGGGGAGAGGAACGAGGGAGGGAGGAGGGGAGCCAAGCCCGGCAGCTTTCCCACAGGAAACCGCTGGGGAGGCGGGTGGCAGCGACCCGCCCCCAGGCTGCTAACAACAACAGTAATAGTAATGAGGATGAAGTTCTGACTAGATGCCAGGCTGTGGGCTAAACACTTGACGTGTATTCTTTCACTTTGCAGATAAGTAACCTGAGTCACGGAGAACTTGAATAACTTCCAGTCAGGATTTGAACCTATTCCGTTCCGAGCCTACATCTTGGGCTCTTGATCACTTCCTTATACCTTGCTCCTCCTCCCAGGACGCCCCTCACCTCCAGCTCAAATGCTCAGTCCCTGCTCCAAACCTACCGTCCCTTCACCCCAAGGTTGCCAGTCTTACAGTCCCTCAACCCGACTTTGAAGAGAGGGCGCTCTCAGCCCCTCCCAACCAGGGTCCAGCAGTGTGTGTCCAGCTGGCAGAGCTGTGTGACGCAGGGTTAATGATTGTTGAACTCGGCTCCAGGCCAGGCCAGGCCAGGCCAGCCTTGGCAAAACCCAGCCATGGGTTCCTGAGCTCCTCACTCAGAGCATGTGGCGGGGTGCATCTCCACACTGGTTAAACCAGCCAAGCACTTGCGTACATTCCCTCCTGAGCTAGGACTTGTGCATGCCCTGTGCTGTGGTGTGGTGTGTGCAGCCTGGAGTCTTCTTCCTGTCCAGACTCCCTGCACCCTCCTCCCTGGTCCCCCTTCCTGGGCCGGAGCTGGGGTGAGGGGGAGGCCTTCTTGGCGGGAGCCTTTAGAGAGGAGGGAAGGAAGGGGGAGAGGAAATTGCAGACATAGCTGAAGGCGCTGCTTGAGGCCTGTGGGCCAGCGACCCCTCCTTGTCCAGATTGGAGACCCCACTCCCAGGCCTCGTACTGGGTTCAAACAGAGGGCAGGTCTGCATGGGAGGAAGGACAAGGACTGATGCCTGTGGGGAAAGGCTTTCTTGTGTCTGTTTCTGGACGTTTCTGTGGAGGTTGTTCTGTCCATGTATGTGTATCTGTGCGTCTATGTGGCTTATCTGGTTGGGTATTTTGTGTGTGTGGGGGGGTTGTGTCTATGTAAATCTATATGGCCTTTTAAAAGTATTTAAGAGCAAAGATGTCAGTTTGAGGACTAGGTGCACCTCACCCTAGCCATGGTATTTTTCAATCACCTCATGTGCATGTGAAAGTTGGACAATGAATAAGGAAGACCATAGAAGAATCTATGCATTTGAATTCTGGTGTTGGAGAATATTAAAATTACTATGGACTGCCAGAAGAACAAACAAATCTGTCTTGGTAAAAGTACTTCCAGAATATTCCTTAGAAGCCAAGATGGAGAGACTTTGTCTCTTGTTCTTTGGATATATTGTCACTGAGGGACCAGTCCCTGGAGAAGGACATCATGCTTAGTAAAGTGGAGGGCCAGCAAAGAAGAGGAAGACCCCCAACGAGATGGTAGCAATGGGCTCAAACCTTAACAATTATGAAGACGTCGCAAGATTGGGCAGTGTTTTTCTATTGTGCATAGACAGGGTTGTGAGTACAACAGTATTTAATAAATCAAAGGTAAAGTGTGGATGCCATCAATTGCCAAGATGGTGACCGCTCTTGAGTGCAGAGGACCCTGGAATGTTGAGGTGGTGTCAGTGACTAAGTGGTGACGGGCGTTCAGTAAAGTTCTCAACAACACAAAGTACAAATTCTTTCCACTTGACGCAGTAGTTGCATTCCTGGAAGGCTCAGTGTATATTATGTGTACACAAGTCTTTCATGTTTATGATTAAAATGGAGTTAGATTCTTGGCTCGAATCATTATAAACAAATTTTTTTTTTTTTCTCTCCTATATCATGTGAGACACAGACTCGGTCTTCTTTGTGGGGTTGTCTGGAGTCCCTGAACCCAACAACAATTCCCAGTCACTGACAACCAACTCCCCAAACTCCCTCCCACCCCTTCAGGGAGTCATGAAACTCAGCATAAGAATAGGGGACAGATACAATAGTTAAATATATAACCTGGATTGTGCTAAATGCAGTGAAGAAAAATACATGGGAGATGTGGTCCGTGAAGGCCTCTTTTAGGAGGTGACATGTGAGCTAAGATCTAAATGAAATGAGAGGGAGCCATGAGAATGTTGGGGGGTTGGGGGAAGCCTTCTAATCAGAAAAGAGCAGCCAGAGCAAAGGCCTGGAGGTAGAAGAAATGTGCTTGGCTTGTTCCTGGGTCAGCAAGGAGGCCTATGTTGCTGGCCAGAGTGCGGGGCTGAGAAGTCAGAGGTAGCCCAGGACCTGATTAGGGAGAGCCAATCAGGCCTTGAGACTTGATTGCGACTCAATTTTAAAAGGTTCACTGTGGCTGATGTGAACAGAGGGATAGAGACCAATGAGGTAGGTGAGAGATGGTGGCTTAGACAAGGGGGTTGGTAAGTGCCGTTGAGTTGGTTCCGACTCATAGTGATCCTGTATAGTGTTTCCAAGGAGCAGCTGGTAGGTTTGAACTGCGGGCCTTTTGGGTTGCAATCCAGTGCTGATCCTACAGAGCCACACCGAGGGTCCAGACAACGGGGTGGAGGTGTGACAAAATGATGTTTTGCTTATGTTCTGAAGGTAGGGCCCAGGCAACAGGATTAGTAGAGCACTGGCCATGAAATATGAGAGAATTCACTAATACCAGGTTTGGAGTCTCAACAACTCAGGCATCGAGACTCATTTGCTCACTTCCTTTCCCACCTTAGCTAGCTCCACAACTTCAGTGTCTGACTTGTCTCTAAAGAGGATACTGGAGACCAGTTGATGGCTAAAATAGAAGGAAACTTCTCATTTTTATTTTGCTTGATGTCTCAGGGCAGAAGTTGTTTAGAGTCTCTTTGGGTATCCATTTTGATCTTTTCATTCTTCCCTGTCTTTTTAATGACCTTTTGCTTTCTTCATGTAGGTTGTCCTTGATATCATCTACAACTCATTTGATCTGCAGTCATTTGTGTTCAATATATCTCTGAATTCAGTTGGGATATACTCAAGGTTGTCCTTGGGCTCTCTGAACTCAAGTATCTTCAGTTTCAACTTGAACTTAGGAACAATTGATGGTCTCTAGTCAGCCTCTGGCCTTGTTCTGGCTGAGGACATTGACCTCCTCCATTGTTTCTTTCCACAGATGTAGTGGGTTTGGTTTCTGTGTATGCCATCCAGTGAGGTCCATGTGTGTTGTTGTTGTTGTTAGTTGCCATCGAGTCAGTACCAACTCATAGTGACCCTATGCACAACAGAACGAAAAACTGCCCGATCCTGGGCCAACCTCACTATTGTTGCCACACTTGAGCCCACTGATGCTTCCACTTTGCCAATCCATCTCATTGGGGGTCTTCCTCTTTTTCTCTGATCCTCTACCTTACCAAACATGATATCCTTCTCCAGTGACTGCTCCCTCCTGACAAGATGTCTGAAGTATGAGAGACAAAGTTTGGCCTCCAAAGAGCACTCTGGCTGTACTTCTTCCAACACCGATCTGTTTGTTCTTCTGGTAGCCCATGGCGCTTTCAGTATTCTTCTCCAACACCATAACTCAAAAGCATCAGTTCTTCTATGATCTTCCGTATGCTTTCATATGCATATGAGGTTACTATAAATGCCATGACTTGGGTCA